GAGCTCCGGCCCCTTGGCAGTTATCAGCTGGTCCCGCCCCCTCGACGCAAGCGACGCGCAGCCAATTGGCGGCTGCCACACTGCGGCCGAGCGGAGCTGGGGGGTTGGGGCCTCCGGCTGCAGGTCCGCCTGGGCTAGACTCGTGAGCGCAGGCAGAGGGTACCCAGTCGCCAGCCCAGCTTCCGCAGTCCCCGCTGAGTCCCGACCCTCCTGGCCGCCCGGACCTCACCTCGTCGCCATGCGCCTCCGCCGCCTAGCACTGTTTCCGGGCGTGGCGCTGCTTCTCACCGCGGCCCGCTTAACTAGTGCCTCCGACGTGCTGGAACTCACGGACGACAACTTCGAGAGTCGCATCTCCGACACGGGCTCTGCGGGCCTCATGCTCGTCGAGTTCTTCGCCCCCTGGTGAGGCCACGGAGCTGGGAGTAGCGGGGAGGGAGGGCCGGGCCGGGGACGAAGGCTCGGGAACGGTTGGGCCTGCGCAGCGCAGGGCCCCCCACACAGTTCCAGCGGGCCTGGCTGCGGCAGGTAAATTTCCCAGCCCCGGGGAGCCGAGAGCGGAGAAGTGGGTGCTGATCGCCGCTGGGCGAGACCCGAGAAGGAAAACCCGGAGAAGGCCCCTCTCACGCACGGCCCCATCCTTACCTCGGTGCTCTTGCGGCACTTCCTTTTTGCAGAGGGTTTAACCATCCCCCTACCCCACTTAGATGGGTATCTTCACAGTTTCTGGGTGAGTCAGTGCTAATATTCTTCATTCTTCAGACTAGGCATTCCGAGGCCTTATATTGGAAGCAAACGTTTCACCAAGTGCAGAGGTCCTGTGCTCCCAGGGTACTTCCTTCTTGCCCGAGGCCCCGCATCCATTGGTTTCTAGCCAAGGTCACTCAGTGGTTGCAGAATGGTCCTGAGTGCTTTCTTGGGGCTGGCAATTATTTTGTCCATGGCACGGTGCAACAGTTTCTCCATTAAGTTGATCACTTCCCAGCAGCAGCAGAATCCTGTCAAAAAGAAAGAGTAGATGATCAAGAGTAATTTCTTCAGAATCTGCCTAAAGTATCTGTTTTAACTGTAAAAGATGCCAAAAACTTCAATGAGAAAAGTAACCAGTATTGAAGAAATACTCCACTTCGGGATGATATAACTGAAGGAGGGTGTAAATTCCTTAGGATAGAACTAACTACAGATAATAAGCTGGGGGTGGGGGCGGGGAGCAAATAAGATTTCTGGCTCAGTAATAAATCTGAGTTTTATTTTTTATTCAACCCCCAAGTCTTTACCACAGCAAACTGCATACAATAATGATCTTAACACATGAGCTAGCTCAGTATATCCATGCTAATTAACAGTACTTAATTTTTCCATGCCCGCCACAATTACCCTTAATTAAAAACTATCTATTCAAAACTATCGGTAAAACAAAGTGTATTAACTTTCACTTGCTTCTAATTCTGGTCTTCACTGTAGGTGCTCCACTGACTTGTTGAGGGTTACACTAGAAGTCCTGAAGTCAAGATCACCTGAACCAGAAGGATGTGCTAGAGGCAGTGAATTTTTTTAGTTTGTAACAGATTTTGTGTCCAGGGCATTCTTGTGGCTAACTGGCATTACTGATTACACATGATAGGTGATGGTCTTTATACATCTATAGACTCATTCTCGCTTAGAAACAATTCTTCCTAATCATATAACCATGCTGTTAACTTTAAGGGGGTGTCACTATAATTAGAGTGGCTGTATGGAGTTGTTTTAAAACTGGGTGGTGCTTCATTGACTACAGGGGTCAACATGAAGTGAATTGCTGGAGAGTTGTGGGCAGTTGGGCTTAGTTTAAAGCAGATTTTTAAAAATATTTTTATTGATTTAGAGGTGAGAGAGAGAGAGAAACATTGTTCAGTTGCCTCTCTTACTAGCTCTGAGTGGGGATGGAATCCCCTACCTAGATATGTGCCCTGACTGGGAATCGAACCCAAAACCTTTCAGTGTACGAGACAATGCTACAACCAACTGAGCCACGCTGACCAGGGCTCAAACTATTTTTATTTATTAATACACTAGCTGGAAATTTTTTTTGACTGCTATATTCCTTTGTACAAATCAAGAATACTTACAACTTAGGAACAGTTCGAGAATCTTTACTGAGAGTAAAATGAGCCTTTTTTGAGCAGGTTCTTTTTCTGGTTTGTTTTAAGATGTTTTTTCACTTTCATTTTACAAGTGAAAGTGAAAGATTTCTTTGCAGTTGATTTTGTAGACTAATACTTCCATTCTGGAGTTAATCGGTTATCTATGTAATTTGTAAGACTGGGAATATCTGAATTTCTGTAGGGAAATAAATAGCACTATTTAAATGTTCATGATAATTTCTGAAAATTCATTCATCAGTGTTGAGTATGTTTCAAATCCTCAAAACATCTACTTATGTAGTAGATTTGTGTCCTACCCTTTAAGTCAGTAGTATTAAATAGTGACATTTTATATACAATGTTTATAGAGTATAGAAAAAGACTGTGGATAGTATAAAATGGAATATTTAATACAGAGTGGGACAAAAGTAGGTTTACTGTTGTTTGTATGTAAAATAATGCAACAATTAATAAATAATACAAGAATAAACTCTGCTTTTCATTCTCAAAACTGTAAACCTACTTTTGTCCCATCCTGTATTTATGTTTATACATGCTGATTCCTTTACTTGGAATTCTTACACCTGTACAATGATCCACCCATCCATCCTCCACTCCCAAATCAAACTTTTCAACAAAATTTAGCTCAAAAGTTACTTCTTCCTTCAGTGAACAGCTAACTGGTTGCTCCCTCTTCTCTTTTGGGACCTAATAATACTGTCTCACTACTGCCAGACTTGTATTCTTTAGGGCAAGGACTATATCAGTTTTTATGTTAGAGGCTAAAATAGCCTTTGGTACTGGGCAGGCATAAAATGATGATTGGTGATTCTTGGGTGATTATATGTTGGGATTCATTATTAACTGCTAAGTGCCATCCCTGAAGGTGGATGTGATTATTTGTGTTTTCATATTACCTAGGAGTGGGTGAAAGCAGTAGTGATTATACTTAATGTTCACCTTTAAACTCTGTCTAAATTGTCCATTTTAGCCCGGCTGGCTAGACTCAGCTGTTGAGCATCGACCAATGATCCAGGAGATCAAGGTTTGATTTCCAGTCAGGGCAGGTGCCCAAGTTGCAGGTTCGATCCCCAGCAGGGAGTGTGCAGGAGGCAGCTGATTAATGACTTTCTCATTATTGATGTTTCTGTCTCTCTCTCCCCCTTCCTCTCTCTCTGAAATCAATTAAAAATATATATTTTTTGAAAATGCCAAAAAATACTCCAATGAGAAAGTAACCAGTGTTGAAGAAATACTTCACTTCAAGGTGATTTAACTTAACAAGGTTGTACATTCCTTAGGATAGAACTAACTGAAATAAAAAACTTGGGGTGAGCCCAGCTGGCATGTGTCAGTGGTTGAGAGTCGGCCTGTGAACCAGGAGGTCACAATTCTATCCTGGTCAGGGCACATGCAAAGGCTTTGGGCTTGATCCCCAGTACGGGCGTACAGGAGGCAGCTGATCAATGACTCTCATTGTTGATGTTTCTATCTCTCCCTCTCCCTCTCTCTCTCTCTCTGAAATCAATTAAAAAAAAAAAACTTGGGGTGAGGGGAGCAAATAGGATATGTCGCCCACTAAACCTGAGTAGTAGTAGTAGTAGTATTTTTTAATTCTCACCCAAGGATATTTTTTCCATTGATTTTTAGAGAGGGGAGAGGAAGAGACAGAGAAACATCGATGTGAGAGGGACACATCAATTGGTTGCCTCCCACACTTGCCCTGACCGGGGCCGGGGATTGAGCCTGTAACCGAGGTATGTGCCCTTTACCAGAATCAAACCCACAGCCCTTCAATCTACAGGCCAATGCTCTAACCATTGAGATTTACCGGCTAGGACTATTATTTTTTATTTAACCACCAATCTTTACCACAGCAAACGATTATTATTTTTTTTTTTTTTAAGAAAATAGTTTGCTCATTTTTATTTTACTAGAGAATCATGAATTGGTTGCTTCCTGAATGCACCCAGACCAGGGCTGGGAGCTAGGATTGAACCTGCACAACCCAAGTATGTGCCCTTGACGGGGAATCGATCCTGAGACCCTTCAGTTCGTAGGCCGACACTCTAACCACTTATCACACCGCCCAGGGCAGCAATGATTAACCTTTTTTTTTTCTTTTTTGTTTATGTTTTTGTTGATTTCAGAGAGGAAGGGAGAAGGGGTGACAGCAAGAAAC